TGATTCAGATAGTTATGTTTATTTCAGGCCATTATCTGTAGTATCTTAGACGTTCATGTATTCGTGACACCAGTTCCGGGATTTGTGTTTGGATTTCGTCACTTATTAGTTTATTTACCTTGTTTCAGACTATTTAGTTTCTTTATTATCTTTGTATTTGAAATTTGTTAACAATAATTAATAACTACATCTAATATTGGCTTGCCTAGCAAGTGAAATGTAAGGTACCATCACGGTTCCGAGGGTGGGAATTCCGGGTCTAGACAAGTTGGTATCAGAGCACTAGGTTGCCTAGGTCTCATAAATCATGAGCAAGCTTAGTAGAGTCTGGAGGATCGGTATGAAGACGTGTGTACTTATCTTCCAGAGGCTATGGAGTTTAGGAAAAATTTCACTTCTTTCCTTCTCTATCGTGTAATGTTATTCTATCATTGATGATTGAACCATTCTATTCTTATTTTCTCGCAGATGGTGAGAACACGTACAACATCAGCAGCCAGATCCCCCTGTGGTAGCTACTACCAGGGGTAGAGGTCGAAGCCGAGGTCGAGCAAGAGGCCGACATAGAGGCAGAGCCCAGCCTAGAGCTCGAGCAACAATATTCGCAGGGGAACCTCAGATTGATCATGAGGAGGTGATCCCAGCCCAGACCATACCCGTCGGACCAGTTCAGACCCCGGAGGGTTTCATAGCCACTAATGCTTCAGGACGCTCTAGTTCGCTTGGTGAGCCTTATGGAGAGTGTGGCCCAGACCAGTGCATTTCCGGTGGCACCAGTCGTCTCTCGGACTGGGGGAGGAGCACAAACTTCTGGTACTCACACTTTGGAGCAGGTGGATCCCCTATATCAGACTCCAGCAACCTATCCAGTTGGGGTGGTTTAACCGGTTGTTGCGGCATAGGCCGGTAACATGCCCGCTATGTATTCTGAGTCCTTGTTGAGGCTGGATAAGTTTACCAAGCTCTTTCTTGTTTATTTCAGCGGTGCACCTTCTAAGGACCCACAGGATTTCCTGGACCGTTGCCACAAGGTGTTGAGCAACATGGGTATAGTTGAGACCAATGGGGTCGACTTTGTAGCGTTTCAGATGACCGGTTCTGCCAAGAGATGGTAGAGAGATTATTTATTGACTAGACCGGCTGGTTCATATGCACTTACCTGGGATCAGTTTTCACAGCTCTTTCTAGAGAAGTTCACTCCTTTCACTCTAAGAGAGGATTACCGCAGGCAGTTTGAGCATCTTCAGCAGGGCAACATAACCGTCACCCTGTATGAGACTCGATTTGTGGACTTAGCTCGCCATGCCATTGTTTTTACTCCCTACTGAGAAGGAGAGAGTGAGGAGATTTATTGATGGGCTCACTTTCACTATCAGGCTACACATGGCCAAAGAGACCGGAGATGAAATTTCCTTCCAAAAGGCCATAAATATTGCTAGATGGATCGAGATAGTTCATTCTCAGGAGAGGGGGCGGTGTCTGATAAGAGACCTCATCATTTCAGTGGTTTCAGTGGTGCCTCATCTGGAGGCAGGGGTTCTTTTGGTAGAGGCCATCCTCCTAAGCCGATTCAGTCAGCTCTCCAGGTAGCCCATTGTGCTTCGGGAGGTCGTGGTTCTTATGAGTCTCGTCCTGAGCAGTCAACATTCAGTACATATTCAGCTCCTATCAGTGCACCACCGCTTCTGAGTTACTACAACAGTTATTCAGACCGTTAGGGTCAGTCTTCGTTCCAGCAGCCTCAGTAGCTGAGAGAGTGCTTTGAGTGTGGGGGCATATGTCACATCAGGAGGTATGCCCTAGATTGTCGAGCAACAAATCTCAACAAGGTTCTCGTGCTATCATACCGGCACCAGTTGCTCCACCGCCCACACAGCCAGCCAAAGGCGAGGGTCAGATTATTAGAGGTGGAGGTCAGGCCATTAGAGGTGGAGGTCAGGCCGTTAGAGGTAGAGGCCAGCCAACTAGGGGTCGCCCGAGGGGTGGAGGATAGAGTGGTGGGGCCTATCCCCATTTCTATGCATTCCCAGCTAGACCTAAGGCAGAGTCATCTGACGCCATCATCACAGGTATTGTTCCAGTTTGCCATATAGATGCTTCAGTTCTATTTGATTTGGGCTCTACTTATTCCTACGTGTCATCCTATTTTGCTTCATATCTGATTGTGCCTCGTGATTCTTTGAGTGCTCCCGTATATGTGTCCACACGTGTGGGAGATTCTATCGATGTAGACCGTGTTGATCGCTCGTGTGTGGTTTCCATTGGGAGTCTTGAGACTAGTGTAGATCTCTTACTTCTTGATATGGTGGACTTCGATGTTATCTTGGGTATGGGTTGGCTGTCACCTTACCATGCTATATTGGAATGTCACGCCAAGATGATGACCTTAGCCATGCCGGGATTACCTCGATTAGAGTGGGGGGGAGACTCCTGGCCATTCTAATAGCAAGGTTATCTCTTATGTGAAGGCTTGGCATATGGTCGAGAAGGGGTGTCTAGCATACTTGGACTATGTTCGCGATTCAAGTACGGAGGTTCCTTCTATGGATTCAGTACCTGTTGTGCGTGAGTTTCCAGAGGTGTTTCCCGCAGATCTGTCAGGGATGCCACCCGACAAGTATATTGACTTCTGTATTGATTTGGCTTCGGGCACTCAACCCATTTCTATTCCACCATACCGTATGGAGCCACCTGAGTTGAAGGAACTGAAGGAGCAGTTCCAGGATTTGCTTGATAAGGGGGTTCATTAGACCTAGTGTCTCACCTTGGGGTGCGCCCGTGTTGTTCGTGAAGAAAAAAGATAGTTCGATGAGGATGTGCATAGACTATCGGTAGTTGATTAAAGTGACTATCAAGAACAAGTATCTGTTGCCGAGGATTGCTGACTTATTTTATTAGCTTCGGGGTGCTAAGGTGTTTTTGAAGATTGATTTGAGGTCTGACTACCATGAAGATTAGGGCATCGGATGTCCCTAAGACAGCTTTTCAGACTCGATATGGGCATTATGAGTTCCTAGTGATGTCACTTAGGTTGACAAATGCTCCAACAACATTCATGGATTTGATGAACCGGGTATTCAAGCACTACTTGTATTCTTTTGCGATCGTATTTATTAATGATATCTTGATCTACTCCCGCAGTCAAGAGGAGCATGAGCAGCATCTTGGAATTTGTACTTCAGACTCTGAGAGATAGTCAGTTATATGCCGAGTTTTCAACGTAAAGTTTTGGTTGGACTCAATCGCCTTTTTGGGGCATGTTGTATCTGTAGAGGGCATTAAAGTGGATCTTAAGATGATTGAGGCAGTTTAGAACTGGCCTAGACCTACTTCAGCTATAGATATTCAGAGCTTCCTAGGTTTGGCGGGTTATTATAGACGGTTTGTGAAGGAATTTTCATCCATAGCAGCTCCATTGACTAGATTGACCCAGAAGGGTGCTCCATTCAGGTGGTCGGATGAGTGTTAGTTGGGCTTTCAGAAGCTCAAGACTGCCTTGACTACGACGCCAGTGTTGGTGTTGCCCACAAGTTCAGGATCTTACACGGTGTATTATGATGCATCTCGTATTGGGCTCGGTGCAATATTGATGCAGGATGGCAGAGTAATTGCATACGCATCGCGGCAGTTGAAGGTTTATGAGAAGAATTACCTTGCTCATTACTTGGAGTTAGCAGCCATTGTTCATGCATTGAAGATTTGGAGGCATTATCTCTACGGAGTGTCATGTGAGGTGTTCACGGATCATAGGAGTCTTCAATATTTGTTCAAGCAAAAGGATCTCAATTTGAGGCAACGGAGGTGGTTGGAGTTGTTAAAAGACTATGATATCACCATTTTGTATCATCCCAAAAAGACCAATGTGGTGGCCAATAATGCCTTGAGTAGAAAGGCTGCGAGTATGTAACCATAAGGGGTTTGAGAGTCTTGTTTAGGGGAAGAACTTTTCGGGACAAGTGTTAGTGTGCCACTTGTGTTTGCCTCTTTGTGAGGTTATTCTCTCGATATTTTGTACTCTCTTTTATATAGTGGATTGTTCATCTCCGTCTGTGGACGTAGATCAATTGACCGAACCATGTTAAATATTTGTATCTCCTTTGGTATATTTAGCTTTTGTTGTCTGATTTATCGTCGTTGAAGGTTTACTTTACTAGGTTTCGCATGACACCTGATTATTTCGGTCCTAATAAGCCACCGTATTTTTGTGGCGTGACAATTTACAAACTTATGGAGGATTTAATTTTACTAGAACTACTGGGATCTGAGGCAGCAATTTTCACTAATGCTTTTCCTTTTTCTTTTTCAGAAAAAGATATTAAAGAACTAAATTAAATAATGAAGTACAAATAAGGTAGAGTGAAGAACAAATTATTCTATACTGTGAGAACAAGGAAACCTATGTGCTTTTGTTTTTAGACTCGGGACTGAGGAATTAATCAGCTAAAGATAGTGGGTGTTTTATGTAAGGGTTGCTCTAGGAGTAGATTTTGGGATTAGATTCAAAATCTATAAAATCTATAGATTCAGTAAGTTCAGAGTCGATTATTATCATTTATTTGCTAGGAATTTTCTCAACGATTTACGGTATCACAGTTAATGAAGGCTTAATGTTTTTCATTTCATGTGACAAAACATTTTGAGGCCTTAATTGTTGTAGAATTGGTTATGTTATAGAAAAAATTAATAATGACTAATGGGCATACGAAAATATGTTGCCCAGACTTATGGGATTTGCCAAATTTTTTAGAAGCAAATATATGGAAATATTCATTATCCTAATCATGGTAAGACCTAGTTTTAATTAATTAAATCTATACCATTAATTTCAATATAGGACACATGTCATCCATTCAAGTAAGAACTTGGGAAAATAGAGACAAAGGAAATGGAGAGGAGTTCAATCCCCAGAATCCAACTAAAATAGTCCATATAAGCGTTAAACTGGAGAAATCAAAGCTATATATTATCAAAAGGAGAAAAGATCCATATATAGAATTTACCTGACAAGTTATTCCATCCAAGAAACATATCTTCAAGCTTTGACATGTTCCACATGTCTCTTGGTAAATTTCCTATACTAATCAGAAAAAAAAAAGAGAGGATATATTACTTCAAGAAGAAATTAAAAGGAAATGAGAAGTAGTAGAGCTAGCTTAGTTAGTTACCTGTGAGTCTGTTATAAGACAAAGACAGATATGTTAGTTGAGTGCATTTATCCAAACCACTTGGAAGTTCACCCACTAAGTGATTATGTGTCATAAATAAACTTTGCAACAGTGGGAGATTACTGCATATGTCATTTGGCAAAGTCCCAGTTAGATCATTGAAACCCAAATCAATGATCTTTAAAGAAGAGACATTGAAGATGGAGAGTGGAACATTTCCAAATAGATCATTTTCAGAAAGATCAAGCAGTTCAAGCCTTGAGAGAAATCCAAGGCTTTGTGGGATTTGACCAGTGAGATTATTCATTTGCAAAGACAAGTACTTGAGCTTCTTTAGAAACCCAACTTCATTGGGGATTTCATCAATAAAAGTGTTGTTGCCAATTTCTAAGAAACTAAGGAAGGAGAGATTTCCTATTTCTTTAGGAATAGACCCTCCTAGTCTTAGGCTCTTGAGGTTTAGTGCAACAACTCTTTGATGCCTTGTGCTACAAGAAACACCAATCCAACTGCAAACTGTAGTGCCTTGTGTCCAGTTTTTGGACAGAATTTCATTAGGATCGTTGGTTATTTGTGCTTTGAAGGCTAACAGAGCTGATTTGTCAGTTGATATGTTCCTTTCTGTAGCAGAAATATTGATGCAGTAGATTAACACAAGGAAGCCAGTTATTACTGCCCTTGCCATCATTTTTTTTTTTTTCAAGAACCAACTTTTTTGAAAGGTGTAGTATGAAGGAAATAGCTAAAGGAGAAGAAAAGTTGTATGCATTTTTGTCCTTTCAAAGTGTCCAGCATTATATAATGGAATTTAATTGCTTCACCACTTGTCTATATATAACTCCTCAGAAGAGGGGCGGATCTACGTTGCAAGTTAGGGGTACCACGGCACCCGCTCGCTTCGCTAAAATTTCTACCATGTACATAATATCTCTGTGAAAAAATGTATAAATGGATAGAATGACACCCAAAAGTCATAAAGTGGAAGTGGGTGCTATTGGTTTAATTTAGCCTTCCCTTTGAAGGCTTTTCTTGGCCTCAAGAATGCAAGTTCAATTCCTTGTTGGAGCAACTCCTTTGATTTTTCTTTTTTTCTACTTATTAAGATTTCTTTTATTTTTAGTTGAATCCTAGGGCCTCATATCTTTTCCTTCTTTTTCGGCCTCATTTTATTACTTGTTAAGTCTCTTTTCTTCATTTTTTTTTAACTTTCAGTCATCATTTTGTTTTCTATCATTATACCTTACTTTATAAACAATTATTTTCTATAGTAATTTTAATTAGAATATAATTTTTTTATTTTTAATGAAACGATATTAATTTATATATTGGAATATAATTTGAGCAATATCTTCTATTGGGTTTTGAAAAAAAAAAATGGCTTGATTGATAGTCGTTTTGAGTTGAATATCATAGGTTGAATGTTGAGTGTTTTTCTTTGAAAATAATTGTCATATAACTCAACAATTAAGATGGAAAAATAAGCAAAGAACAATACAAGTAAATTAATCTAGTCAAACAAAGAATATAGTGTAGTTAAGGTACCCTTTAAGCAAATATTTATATTGGAGGAGCTCTTTCATGAAATGATATTTTTCTTTTGCATTTTTATTTAGAATGTGTTTAAATTAAGCGTTAAAAATTTGAACTAAAATCGAATTTATTTGCTTTGTGAATCAAAGGCCTATTCAAATTAACCAAAAACTAACATAACCGACCCATTATTCCTAATCTGTCTTTGTAGCTACTGACATGTATACTGTATGCATAATATGGTGGCACCCGCAACCTTCGAATCATGGATCCGCCTCTGCATACAATTATTATTCGTGGAGTTAAACCATTTCTTTTCTTTAATTAAGTGTTTTCATATTTTCTTATTATCTTAATTAGTTATGTCAAATTATGATTTTTAAATCTATTCTCCAAGGACCAAGACAGAATACGCGGAGTGCAAGTTCAGCGGAGTTACTCAGGAAGCGGACGTAGATGTGAGGCTTGATACTCAAGTCATTCATAGGAGAGAGAGTTTTAAGTATCTAGGGTGTGTTATTCAGAGTGATGGGGAGATTGATGTCACACATCGTACCGTAGCGGGGTGGATAAAGTGGAGGCTCGCTTCTGATGTCTTATGCGATAAGAATGTGCCATTGAGACTTAAAGGTAAATTTCACAAAGTAGTGGTTAGACCGACTATGTTATATGGGGTATAGTGTTGGCCAGTCAAGAACTCCCATGTCCAGAAGATGAAAGTTGCTGAAATAAGGATGTTGAGATGGATGTGTGGGCATACTAGGTTAGATAGAACTAAGAACAAAGTTATTAGGGACATGGTAGGAGTGGCCCCCATGGAGGATAAGATGCGAGAGGCGAGACTTCGATGATTCGAGCATTTTAAAAGGAGAAGCACAGATGCCCCAATCAGGAGGTGTGAGATGTTGTCCTTGGGGGGTCAGAGGAGGGGTAGAGGTAGGCCAAAGAAGTCTTGGGGAGAGGGGATCATGATCAGGCGGGACATGGCACAACTTGAGCTAACCGAGGACATGACCCTTGATAGGAGGGTGTGGAGGTTGAGGATTAGGGTAGAAGGTTAGTAGGCAGTCGAGTGTTTTTCCTTGTCTTCTTGCTTCAGTAGTATTAGTGTTAGTATGGTATTATTTTACCCTTAGATGGCTATTACTACATATCTTGTATTGTATTAATTGCTATCAGCGCTTCTTTCATCTTGTAACTTGCTATCTTAGTCTCAGTCTTCTAAATATCTTGTACTGTTATTACTTGATATCAGTGCATCTTTCATATTTTCTTTAACTGAGAGTCTATCGGAATCAGTCTCTCTGCCCGTCCAGGGTAGGGGTAAGGCTGCGTACATCTCTCTCCTCAGGCCCCACTTGTGGGAGTACACTGGTTTGTTGTTATTGTTGTTGTAAATATGCTCTCCAAGTACTAAATTATTTTTAAGAAATTAAGATAATGAAGTCCCAATTGTGACAAAAAAAAAATTAATTGCATGATTTGATCCATGTACTTAGAATTCCTTTGTTACATTTGGACGATCCCCTTCTTTTTTTTTTTCTAGGGAAAATTTCCGGTCATTAAATATGTGAAAGTTATAAAATCGTGAAAAAGCTGCACAGATAATGTATATATTTGGAAGTTTTTCGTTTCCTAGTTCAAATATCTGAAGAAAGTGCAGAATTTTAGTAACATGAATATCCAGAAAAAGACATACTAGCTTTTTCTTTATTGATTTTTCAAACTAGATTCTTGTGATCTTATATGAATGTATATCATAATCTTTACTAAATTGAAATGGGATACCAAATATTTCCACTTCTCACTGGATTAAAATATCTGTTTTATGTATATAAATCGTACTCGAATAGTCTCACTTATCCTACTTGTAAGGGGGATATTTTAAATATCATGTGTGCAGAATTGTGAGAGTAGATATATTTTGGCTCTAGCATGCGGAAGATGAAGGTCAAAGGATCTGCGGTATAATATAGTAGGATCAAGGTTATTGAATAGCTTTTCCGTTCCATTGCCATCTTATAGGGCCACCTTCCTAGCTCTTTTGTTTTTTGCTTTTCTATTTGGTGCATTTAAAGATTAAAAATATATTATTAACATATGAAAAGTCAATAAGACAATCTCTAGCATGTAGGTCATACATATTTACTTCAATTCAATGTCGTTGTTCTAATCAGCTGGGAAGATGGAGGGCATTGATTCTAGACAATGATTTGGTATTTGCTATTTTTGTCTAAAGTCTTCATATACTATTTGATGATTTGTCAAATCACTATATAGACAATAAATTTGCGTCAAGAAAATAAAATCAAGACCGAAAATATTACAACAATCGTAATATTTTATTTTAAATATTTGAGTATTTCAAAATATTCTGATTCTACTTTTCAACAGTACATAAAAGTACTTTTGAGCTTAATCTTGATTTTTTTATTTTATTTTAATCCAAGTGCTTGAGGCCTCATCTTGATCTTGACTAATTTTTAATCCAAGGGCCTGCAGCTTGTTCTTGAATCTTCGTCTTGATCTTTTTAATCGTTAGAACACTTGAGTGCTTGTAGTTTTTAGAGAAATCTGGCGCGTTTGATCCACGAGCTCTCTCTTACTTCTTGTTATAACTTCTAGTCATTTTTCTGGGTTATGAAAACCCCTATTTATAGTTATGGGAGGGAAGAGTTATGATAAGAACAAAATCTTTTGGACCAATCAAATTGAAGTGTGACAAGACCGCATTTGATTGGCCAAAACATGTCACTTGCACACGTGGCGCGGTTTCATTGGCCCTTTAATTTGACTTGGCATGCCTTGTCATTTTGACACGTGGCACAATCGCATTGGCTCTTCCGTTTGACTTGGCGCGCCACGTGATTTGACGTGTGACACCAAACTGGGCCTCTAGGAAGATGACATATTAGGCTTAATGAAGTGGGCTTATCACTTTAGCTCAACGAATTAAGACTTATTTATTTAATTCATATATATTAGACTTATATAATTAATTCAATTATATTAGCTCATAATATTTATTTGGACCAATATATCTTGAATTTAAAATATAGTTTAAATTATTTTATGAATTTAATTTTAATAAAATTTATATGCGTACAAATACCTCTACTTCAAGGCTTGTTGGGGTACAAAACATCAAACCTCCGAAGCTAGGCTTGAAGTATATCTCATAATACATTTAGAGCACATTTGTTTACATGACTTCTTCCTAGCTTTATTTCAAAATCATAATTTCCAATCAGTTGGCGTGACGTTTTCTTGCCAAAGTGCAATTTCAAAATATAGTATGCCAACCTCAAAACACCTCTGCTTTTACTTGTGGAATATTCTTACTACTAAGCCTTTAATAGTATATTGGGAAATTTTCTCTTTTTTCTTCAATTCTTTTTTATTTCTATGCTTCTTTTCTTTTTCCTTTTTTCTTTCTTTTCTCCTTTTCTTTTTTCTCGTTTTCTTCTTTATTTTTTTCTTTTTTCTCTTTTTCTATTCATTTATTTTTGCCCAAATCGTATTATTGTTATTTTTACCATAATTTATTTCACACTCAATTTTGACTCCCACTTTATTTTTTTTTCTTTTTATTTTCTTTATTTCTTGTTCCCTTTCTAATTCCATTTAACTCCTTTTTTTTTTATTTCTTGTTCCTTTTCTAATTTCATTTAACTTCTTTTTTTTATATTCTTTTTATCTGCATAATCTAATTTCATTTACTGTTTTCACTATTTTTTATTATTCTTGTTTTTATACAATAGGAAAAAATAACTTATATAGTAAATATTTGTTCACCTTTTTTTTAAAATATAACTAGTATAATATACCTTTTATTTTATTTTTATTTTTTTAATTCAGTTATTAAACTGAAATAATATCAGTTGTCACTTGATCTAATTCATTGAATATCACACTGACTGCTGCTGAGCACCATAAATTACATAATCAGATTCTAAGAATCTAACACGTGATTGCCATGCAAACCTTGATCTCATTCCCTACAAATATCAGTACACACTCTACCATTAGCAGTAACACAACCAGTTATGGAACAAGAAAACATAATCTATGGCCACCAAATCTTTATATATACTAGTTAGAATATAATGATAATAAAAAAAATACAATAAAAGTATAAGTAGTAAAAAAAGACTTGTAGTACCACATGATACCAATATGGTATGCATGTATACCAACAGAGTATATGATTGCTCTAGAATATTGCTACAACTATCTGC